TGGGGTTTTCCTGCCCGCGGGCTGTCTGCATTGCGAGGTGCCTGCGTGCATCCCTGCTCGCTCCTCGTAGACTGGCGATCGCCACAGCTCCCGCGGGCCCAGCCAGACCCTCACCCCCAGAGGGCTTTGTCCTCGTGTGCCTGGGCTCAGGGTGGACCGCAGGGCCTGGGACCACGCGCCGCCGTCCGCCTCGCCACGAACGCTCCGTGTGTGTTTTGTGTTCCTGTGAAGAGCGGAGTGACCTACTCAGGCGGATCAGCCGGTCTCGTGTCTCGCGTGCGCCCAGCAGGCTGTGGTCAGGCCGAGCTCTGCCCCGGGCCGGCGGACGGCAGAGAGGGACCCTGCCCCAGGGCCCCAGCCGGAAGGCAGAGGAGACGCGCCGAGAGAGACAGACAACTGCCCTTTCCAAAGCACGGCCCGCTCGGCCCTAGCTCGGGCCGTCTCCGTCGGGGCTCAGGGGAGCCTGTGAACAGCTCACGCCTCACGCACGCCGCAGAGAGACCCTCTGCTGTCAGACGTGATAGTCCCCGAGAGAGAGCTCCGCCGCTGCTTCGGTCCATGCCCCCCGGGACCCACAGATGCGCTGGCTCAGCTCGGCCTGTCAGGCGGGCGGACGCAGCGCCAGCGGTGAGCCACGGAATTCCTGGTTGGCACCACGTGCACGCCTACCCGCTGGCGCTGAGTGCTGCCAGCTGCTGTCCTTTCCCTTTGCATTTTATTGCTACACACAGAACAGCCCAGGAGAACTGGGACCTGACCTGACCCCGCCCGTTGCTTGATATTAAACAAAAGTGTTGAGTCTGCTTTATTCCCTATCGACTTCGTTGCCTCTAAGGGAAAATGCAACTGGAGTGGGTTACGAGTTTCCAGTCCTGGCTGGTGCAGAACTTGCTGGCACTGACAATGGTGGTGTGGACGATTTTCTGAAGCCCCCTGGAACCCTCGAACTGGGATACGAGTGGCCACGTCTGCCTAGTCTTCAGTAGATGTTTCCTGGATTTGTTTGACATTATCATTGCCATCGTCTGACATTTGAATTAAGGGATTTTTGAATTGTGCTGAGATGCACATAAAATTTCATATCTCAGTGCTTTTTAAGTGGGGGGCTCAGTAGTGCTCATAGAGGTCGGCGCGCCTGGGTCCTGAGGCCGAGCAGGCGGGCACCGCGTGCCTGCACACCTTGCTTATCTGTGCACTGACCCCTGCACACGGGGCTGATGGCCTGTCTCAGGGCTGTGAGTAAAGTCCCTTCGGACAACGTCTTTTTTTTCAGACCTTGCTTTCTGTTCATTTGGATCATATGGTGACACTTGTTTGAGATCTTAGAGGACCATCATGCTGTATCCACAGCAGCTGCACCATCTTCCATGCCTGTATCCTTGCCAATACTTGTCTTTTTTCCTTCATCAGCGGCCATCCTGGTGGATGTGGGTTGGCACCTCATTCGGGTTTTAATTTGCATGATTTTCTTTTTAAAGGCCTAGAGTGCTGTCTCCTCCTTACCTCAGAAGGCGTTTGCTTTGATACATACAATTTGCCGAACGTTGCCTGAGCCTTAAACGAGACCATCTTATACTAAGCGATCTTGTTGAAGCTCTCTCTCGCTCACATACACACAGAGTTTTAAAAACTCAGTGGCTGCTCTGTGTGCTTGGAGAAGCAACGTGGCAAAGAATGAAGCAACGGATTCTGCTTTTGTTTTCATTACCTGTGCCCTTAGTTGTGGTTCACAGTGCTGTTTTCACTATTCTTTCTCTTGGCCGTAGAACAGGAAAAGCCATTTGAAGAATAGAATTTTTTTAATTTGGGGTCATAGTTTTTGTTTTGTTTTGTTTTGAATGCATGTGTTTCTGAGAGCTAGAATGAGCAGGGAGTCTAGATTTGGGTATGAGTTTTAGAAGCGAGGAAGGGTACAGAAGTTATCCATGACTGTGTAAGATGAGAAAAGAGGGAAGCAGACTGATTTTAAAGGGTTAGGTTTGGTAATCAGACATTTGGCAGGAAAACAGGAGGAAGATAAGCATGCTTTCAGATGATGGGAACCCAGCCATCCCGCTCTGCTTACCAGTTCTACTGAATGCCGAAGCTTGGGCAGTGTCCACGCCTGCCCCCCCCCCATGCCCCCGAGATCCCACGGTACCCCCCTCAGCCTGCCGCCCCCATCCTGAAGCAGGTTTTTGACGGAATAATTGAATGAGTTGAATCAGCTTTGTCATCTTGATTGTACTTTTTAGGATGGCTCAGCAAATCTGCCTGTGTTCAAATCAATAAGAAAGTCTTTAGACTTTGAATTAACACAACCCCTCAGCCTTTTTTCATTGCTGTTATCCAATTTGGAATCCTTGAGACAATCATTTGTGGATACTTCCAAAGTACCGAAATGCTAAGTATTCAGGTAGAAGGTAATGGACAGAAGAAACTGACCCCGGTTGAGTCACGTGGTGCGGGCCTTTCCTCATGCTCACCATCACAGGCTCAACAGATCACTTGACTCCATCCTGGCAGTTTCTTAGTGAAAGAGCAGGAACAGAGTCTACCTTCCTGTAACTGCTACATCTGTGGAGACAGACACTTGAAGCAGATGAGCCCACAGACAACGATCATAGCTGCGACGATGATGCACGTTTTAGAGCACAGTGCTGTGCACTGGGGAGCGGGTAACTTGGATGGGTGAGCTCTGGTCATAACAAAATCAAAGTCAAAAGTTAAGGGATAAGAGGAATTTATTCCACATGTGATGGAGGTGTATGCATTGCACCTGTTCTGAAAAGCATGAGTAGGTGTAAAGGCCCTGGGGTAGGGGGTGCACCCAGGGCACGGGTGAGGGGCCCCCACTGAGGGCCAGGACACAGGCCCCAAAGCCCGCCACAGGTCTAAGGCACCTCCCAGTGGGGGCCCAGCAGTCTGGGACAAAGGAGTAAGGTCAAGGTGCAGGCGGCCACTGTCAGCCTCCCCTTGTGTCTCTCCCAGGCATCTCTCCGTGTCTCGGCTTACGAGTCTCCTCCGAGCCCTCAGGTGCCTGGTGCAAGTCCAAGGCTGAGAAGCCAGGGACCCTTCTTCGCCTGTGTCGTGCTCCTGTGTTTCTGCAAGTCTTTGCTGCACTCCCTCCCCCGGCCACTCCGCTCTGCCCCTCAGTAGGTGGGACAGGGAACGTGGAACCTTAGTTATGGAGCCCCCTCTGGTATAACACTGTGCTCACCTAGCCAGCTTACCTCTCAGAATTATGGACATACTCTCAAATACGCGTGTGTGTGTGTGTGTATGTGTGTGTGTGCTGCGTAGGTATGTGCTCCTTATTTCACAAAGGGGAAAATGAGCCCTCCCTGGTGGCACAGGGGTTAAAGTGCGGCGCTGTGAAGCTATTTGTAGCCATCAAAGCACAAGTTCGATCTCCGGCCAGGGAGCTGACCCACATGGTGCAGCAGACCTCTCCTGACCCGCCCGCTGCTCCCCTCAGCAGTGTACTTCGTCGGTCTGCGTGTTCTGCTCCCCACTCTGCCTCTGGTGAATCCTCTCACTCCCCCACACCTCTGGGCTGCACCCTAGTTCTTATATACATAAATCTTTTTTGAAAGGGCAGGGAAATACTTCTGATGGTACTCATTTTAAAGTGGTTTCACTTTAAAGCCCGTGATTTAAAGTCGAGGATGGAGTTAGCCTAGTAATTTGGGTGCATTGTGCAATTCTACTCTCTGAGGAAAGTATGTGTTTCTAGGAACCTATTTGCAAGGGAGAAGCATCAATGTTTCAAGACATTCAAAGAGTTGACCATATTGCATCCTATTAAATTTACCTTATCCTAGAAAATAGAGGAGAACTTGGTCTTGGTGCACTTCCATATTTTTAGAGTCTTACTACAAAATTACATTACTTTGAAATTTCAAAACATGTTTTTTTTTTAGGGGACGAGAAAACGCCCAAGCCCACACCAGGGAGTCGATAGTTAGGGAACTGCAGGCCAAAGCAGCAATCTTGGAGGCTTGCAGGAGAAATGAATCCCAAAGATAGCTCCATTTCCTTATTTCTAGAACTTTGAAACCCACACTTTGAAGGCACTTCCTGAAGGAACTAGGAAACCGTGACCCAAAGAACACACAAACAGGAAGGGCCTGCTAGGCACGGGCCCTTGCTGCCTCCCGGCTCCCGGCGGAAGCCTGAAGCCGGTCTCTCCTGGCACGTGTGTGGGAGGAAAGCAAGCACTGGGCCTCAGCGTGGCCGGTAGCTGGGAAGATCTCTGAGGATGAAAAGCCACTTCCTTGGGGGCTGCACGAGTAACCCCTGGAGCCAGACTCAGCCTGCAAGCTCCCCTCCTGCCCTGATGCCTAGAGTCCTCCGCCTCTGTGGAGAAAACCCCACAGTTCACCAGAGCTGAGCTCACGTTTGGACAGGTGGCCCGCAGGGTTGGACGGAAACCATTTCTGCAAGCTGCCAGCGCAGTGTTCATGGTATGCGTGCAAAATGGTGTCGTTCAGACCCAGTGACGGCAGGACAAACATAAAGGACAGATGTGTCACTCGCGTAGGTTGACTTTTCTGTGAAGCATAATCCCCATGCTGGTTTCTCCGTGCTGTTTTCTCTTGCTTTGTATTGGTAATAATTTTTTTTTTAAAGATTTATTTTTATTTGTGCATTCAGAACTGGGGTACAGGCCAGAGGCTCAGGGGCGGTGAGAGGCTTCACCAGAGACAGAGTGGGGAGCAGAATAGGCAGATGGACGAAGTACACTGCTGAGGGGAGCAGCGGGCGGGTCAGGAGAGGTCTGCTGCGCCATGTGGGTCACCTCCGGGGCAGGCGGCAATCGAATACAGAAGTGGCTTTAGAGAAGTGGCTTTAGAGTCTCAGTGCTGTGCTTTAACCCGCTGCGCCACCAGGGAGGGCCTGTATTGGTAATAATTTTTAAAACCCTCCGCAAGTAAAAGTCAGACGTGAACAGCAGTGCCACGCCCTTGATGCCTGCTGGGACTTCATTTCCAATGCAAGTCTCCTGTTTGTCTCCACAGAGTCACTGGAGGGGAACTGTTTGAAGACATAGTGGCGAGAGAATATTACAGTGAAGCGGATGCCAGGTAAGTGACAGGCCCCGCGTGAGACGTCATTCCAGAGATGTCCTGACCAAGGATGTGTGAGGATCTCAACACCAACTCTGGTTTCTTCTCAAGACGCACTTTGAATGGGTTTCTCTTCTCTCAAGGAGCTCTGTTCTCTTCTCTCAAGGAGCTCTGAGATGAAGCTCGGGAGTGGGATGGGGAAGAAAAATTGATGAATGTGGCCTTACACATTCCGCCTAGCACTTAGGGTAGGAATGCATAGTCTATTAAAAACAAAAAAAGGCCGACTGCAGTGACCTGCTGAAGAAATACGCTTCTTGGCGCAGAGCAGAGCTCAGTGACTGAGGTCCTCCCCTCTCTAGAACCTGCCCTGTTCAGTGTGGAAACCGCTAGCCAAGCGTGGTGATGCCCATTTAAATTTCAACAAATTGAAATTAAATTAAAAGTTGCACTGACCGTATTGTGAGTGCTTCATGGCCGCAAGTAGCCGGTGGCCATGGCATGGACGCAGTGTCTGCGGAGTATTTCTGTCATCACAGAAAGTTGTACTGAGCAGCCCATGCCCAGTCAGAGGCCACGAGGAGACCCAGCTACCAAGCTCGAGGGGACCCTGAAAAATACTCATTTTAGCGGTTGCACTTTGGTGAAACCCCTTGGAGCTGTGACTTCAAAAATATGTCTTCAGGTACTGCAGAATGTTCAGGATTTTACAGGCTTGTTCACTGGGAAGATCTTTGCAGAAATGCGAAATGGCTAACTCCCTGTGTAACGTCAGACTCCCTCGGGGCCCCAGCGGCAGTACCGTCTTGGGGTCGGATGGAGCCTGTGATCCCCTTGCCTGGCCACGACGTGGGCTGATGGGGACTGGTGTCCCCAGGTCATGGCAACTGTTCCGGAGGCGCGTCCTGGGCAGTGGGCTCACTAGCTGCTCACTGTGTATATGGAGATGCCGTCAGAATTCAGCTCCTGAATCGCCCCGTTCCCTAGTGGCTCTCGGGGCACTGGGGGCGCGACGGGCTGGCCCCGGCGGCTGAGGGCGGCCACCCCGTGCCGACAGCCCGCTCGGCCGCCCCCACCCTGGGTCCCTGCCGTGCGCCTGTGATCCCGTCTCATGAGCGCTAGCCGCCTCCGCGGTGGAGTGTTCACTGCCAGAATGAAACGGGGAGTCCCGTGTCCCTTGTCCTGTGATGGCTGAATTGGCCCTTGTCCCCGTCCCGTGGGACTCCCTCAGACGGGCTTCAGAGCCGCCTAGGAAAGAGGTGTTTTCCTGCTGGTCGAGAGCAGAAATCTTAGGATATAATTAAATGAGAGAATTTCATTTATTCTCTGTTTTTCAGAGTTATTTGTCATTACTCGATAAATATTGGTTGGAATGACATGGAGAGCATGCTCACTCTGGAAACCCCTGCAGGTGACGGGGCATCCCCCGTGTCATGGGCCTGTCTGGCTGCGTTAAGTCGTGGGATGCACTGTAGGTCATAGTTCCAGTCTAGAATCCGAAACAAAGTCAAGGGAAGGAAACAGCATCTTCCCAACTATGACTGTAAAGAGTATATTCCAGCCTGAGACCAAACGATTTAAGTCTATTCTCGTAATAGTTCTCACAGACATAAAAATTTGAATCTGTTCTCACCAGTGGAAACTGGCAAAGTTCGCTTGCGAGGGATGATTGTTGACGACTTTATTTTCCATCCCTCATCCAGTGTATAAGTTACTCCAACCTGTCTGAAAAGAGAAGGTAAACTGCCTATTCCTGAGGGAAAAGGAAAAAAAAAAAAAGGTGCAGAAAGTGGGTGTTATTGTAGAGGGAAAAGAATTATGATGTGAAAGAGAACTGGCGATACCAAAAGAGGCCGCACACGATTCAAGCAGACAGCACGGGAGTCTCAGCGGTAAAATCCCAGTCGTGACAGTGCCTTGGCCTTTATTTTGTTAAAAGCCAGTGATGATTTATATGCTTTCATAAACTCAGGAATTTACTTTGCAGCCATACTGCTTTGTGCATTGAACGGTTGCAAATGTCCAGATTCACACGTTCGCTTGACCCCTGAATGGACGTAGGTCCATGGGCCCTTGCCTTGGAATCACGCAGTGCCCGGTGGGACCCATCCCTGTGCCACGCGCTGTGTCAGTGTGTGTCTGAGCTCACTCCTGCAGCCCCGAGGGCGTCCCCTGGGCCTCCCTCTGATGTGGCGGTGAGCCTCACTCACAGCAGAAACCGTGCTCCGACGTAGCAGTCGGGGAAGTTTGCCGTCACGGAGGTGCGTGGAGTCGGGTTGAACAAGTCGTGCCCCAGGAGATTTTCATTCTCGTTCCGTGGAAGTTCCCACCTCTCCCACAGAGCATCCTTTAATGGAGCGGGATTTGTTTTATCCTGGGTTCACTTTAAATTCTCCCTGTGTTGGAGACTCCTATTGTTTCTCGTTCACTTTTTAAAGTTTTACTTGTGTGCATGGAAGAACTGGGCTATGGGCCAGAGAGGCAGGGCGTAGGAGGGCTCCCAGAGACAGCAGGGAGCAGGACAGGCAGGCTGACTGGCATACACTGCGGTGCCGTGTGGGTCACCCCCTGGCCGGGGACCACACTCAGGTGGCCGTAGGGAGCTGTGTGCTTGACCCGCGCCACCAGGGAGGCTTGGGTGTTCTGTTCACATACTCTACAGGACACACCGTTTGTAAGTCAAGCAGTAAACGTGCCCCTTCATTTTTTTAACACCTGTTCACCAGCCCTTTCATCTGTGTTCACCCTCTTGTTTCATCACGTATGTTTAAACAGATTTTAAACAGTTTAGGTGTGTCTGAGAAACACTCATAAATTTTATATCTCTGAAACATTTTCCCTGAATGTTCTGGGAATCATTTATACGTTTTTCTCCCTGGTTATGGAAATTCCGACTTCGGCATTGGAATGACCTCATTTGTAGACTTGCAATGACGAAAAGACACCGCTCAAATTGTTTTGTCTGAACGTGTCACAAATTCTGTGTCAGGTGTCATTTTCGTTAGCATCAGCGTTATTTAATTCTAGCATAAAGCTAGAGAAAAAAACTGTGGAAGTGTATTTTTTGTTGGTTTGTTCATTTCATCTGAACCGTTCATTTTATTTGCATTCGCTGTGATTATGTGCCTTAAAATGTTCTCCCTCCCACCCTACCTTGTATCTTTACAGTCACTGTATACAGCAGATTCTAGAAAGTGTAAATCATTGTCACCTAAATGGCATAGTTCACAGGGACCTGAAGGTCAGTATATGCGTTCATAAATCTGAATCAAAGGAGTTTCCCCCCACCCTCCCCGGGGAAAGGGCTGGGGGTGGGGGGGTGAAAGGGTGCCTGGCTTCAACTGCTCCTGAACATCACGAGAGGATGGAATGATAATGCATGTCGCCTCTTTTCAGTTTGCTCGTCTACAGGCTAAATATACATCACAGCAAAAAAGGGGAGGACAGGGGAAGACCGACGGTTACTTCCAAACAGTAACCGGCCGGGGGCCATTTGGGGGGGAGGAGGCAGGCGTTGCTGACTGGCCAGCGTGTGCCTGGAGATACCTCCGGCCTGTGATGTATGTCCGCCTGTAGATCCACACACCACTTCTGTTCTGAGACCGCAGGTTGCTGTAGCAGAACAACTGGTTCCCCCGTTGCTCCATTGGAGCCTGACGAGCCCTCAGGCGAGAGATAATAATTGCCAGCTAAATTAAAGCATGAGGAGTTAACGATTTATCAGAAATTCATTATGTATCTTAATTTAAGCTTACGGTGGCACCTTAACTGCTAATGTGACAGCTTTGGAGAGAGGCGAGGAACATGGCAGAAAACAGAGGAAAGTTTGTTGCGGGGTGGGGGGAGGATGGGGAGCACATCAGCTATAAAACACAAATTATATTTGTGTTCCAGCTCATTTCCTGTAAGAACTTATAACCAGGAAATAAGCTCCTGATTGAACGTGCTGTAGGCCAGGTCCGCATTTGGCTCGCTCTGGCACGCGCTCTCGACCTGCCCGAGCCAGCAGAGGCTCTGCTCCGGCAGTGAGGGGCCCCCAGTTGTCTGCTCCCGGCCTTGGCGGTGCTCCTGAGGGTGTACAGACCCCAGTGTGGCCCGGCACTAACACGCGCCCCCTGGTGTTTGCGTGCAGTCATTGCATTCAGCAGATCTGGAGGCCGCGCCACTGCCATCAGAGGGGCGTGGTCCGCCGGGACCCCGAGGTGAGTAGCCGGCGGCTGCACCCCACGGCGCAGCGACTGTTCAGCTGCAGCGATGGCTCTCGAGGGGCAGCAGAGAGGGGCGCTCCAGCACAGCACAGGCGTGCGCCTCGGGCCTGTGCCACCTCTGGTACATTCTGAAGGCGCCCTGAAATCCCATTTCACCCAGCGGGAAACACTTGTAGCTTCAACACTAGGTTGCCAGTTTCCTTAGCCCCCCAGCCCTGGACAGAACTGTAATGTGGCGTGAGTGACCGCGTGGCGTGAGCACCCTTCCTTCTGTGAAACGCGCCCTGTGCCGCGCCTTCTCCTGCACCGTGCTGTGCTTGCCGGCAGCGAGGACCAGTTAGCTGCAGTGTGAAGGAAACAGATAAAGTCGTTTCAGATCTTCGATCGGGGCGTGCGATCAATCCCCCACTTTGCACTCATTTCTCTTGAACACAGGTTCCAGGAGTTCTGGGGCTTCCCGGCTCTCCATTCCTATTCCCAAGGCCAACACACCAGCACAGTCCCCTTTCAAGCACAGGCAGAGAGTCAAACTGTGCTGTCAGATATCACCGGCCGAGCATTTATAGCCCACTAATCGGCTTAACACTTCAGCTTCTGCTACCAGCTGAGGTTGAGGAAAGTTTAGATCATGTGGAAGTGATAAAAATTCGAGGCTGTTCTTCGGTTCTTTCTCCATCCCTTTCTCATACTCTCATGGTCGTGCTTAGGGAACTTTAAAGACATGGTAAAGGCTTTGATGAAACTGAAGTGAGAAGAGAGCAGTGCTAGCTGACAGTGTGATGAGCGCCAGAGCGCTGAGCTTCCCTGTCTCAGGGCCCAGCCCCTTCCCAGCCTCGGGTAGGGTGGCGGAGGACGCGTGAATGTCATGAGCTGTGCGTTCTCTGGACCACTAGGCTGTTTCTCAAATGCAGATATCTCTAGCCCTGATTAACTGAAGGTCTGCAGTTTTCATTCACTTAGTATGTCCTAGGAGGGTATATTTCTAATCATCCTTATCGAGTTATTTGAAGACAAGATTTGTAAGCAAAACATTGGCCGAGTTTTCTGGAATCTCCCTTTGATTTCAGTCTGCATCTGAGAGTTTTAAATGTCAAAAGCAGAGGTAAGGTTAATAGCCTCCACTTTTAGCCAAGACGGGGCTGCGCACATCTGCTGACACTTATCAGCAGGCCAAAGGGAAAAATAGGTTCCTTTGAAAACGCCTATCTTTGGCAGTCACCTCAAAAAACTCCTTACTAGCCATGTACAGCTCAGCCCTGGGGTCGCTTCCCAGGGCCCATGGTTCTTCCCTCCTTTTTAGGTGAGCATCTGCAGACACGCACAGCGTTTGTGCTGTGGCATCAGTTCCGATACATTTGTCCCTGAATCGTTCACTCCACACCACGTGAGCACTAAGCATTGTCTGATAGAGCCAGTGAACGCCGGGAATCGTCTCCCAGGAGTTTCAAAGTATATTCCGTGGGGTCGCGGAATTGGACTCGGCTAAGGCTGGGCTTGTCCAAGACTGGAGCCTTCATCAGAAGTGACTCTGGGCCCATGGTGTGGGCCACGTACACAACCATCTTCCCGCCAGGGAAGCTAAGGTCACGTACTGGTGAGGCTTCTCCCAAAGGAAGAGCCACCCACCAGCCACCAGGCGTCCTCCTGGGCAGAAGGTGGCTTTGTTCTCATTTCTCATTCTGATCTGAGAAGGGGTTAGAGACAGACTTGCAGTGGAACTCGGTGGAATTTCTGCAGTTGTTGTTGTTCTGGTTGAATCGGTGTCAACCTCGGTTGAATCCAGGGCTCAGAGCTGGCTCCGGTGGCCGGGCCCTAAACGCACTGAGCCAGCCCCACGCTGTGAGGGCAGGTGTTGTGCACACCTGGACAGGCAGGTGCCAGGCCTGGAGTTGGCTGTGTCTTCACTGGAGCACAGCCTTAGTTCCCAGCCCATCAAGTGAGAAAGGGCACCCCTGGCCTTTCTCATGATCAGATTTTAAAGAAAAGGTTGCCTCTGTTCTTAAGTCATCTGGCACTCTTTTCATAGCCTGACTCTTGGGCTAGAGTCTATCCAGCACGATGCGCGTTGCACAGTTTTAACTTGTCCGCGGCAACCAGACACAGAAGTGTCGTTTGTGTGCATTTCAGAGGCACCTGGGAGCAGTTCGGGGACAGCTGTCATCCCCAGAATACCAGCTGTTTGACACACTGTGCTACACCGCAGTACCTAGCACCTATACCTGGTAAATACGTGCCCCTTATTGAAATATGTGCTCCTTACTCCTTCCGTTTAAGACTGGATTGAGTTCTGTCAAAAGCATATCTATAATATAAATGGTCACCCTGAAGCTCAACTCCTAAACAGAGTTTGTGACTTTGGATACAATGAAGAGGCAATGCTGTCCTAGCATAAAGGGCACCACTGGGCAGGGGAGCTTTCCAGGTAGAAAAGGACAGGTCCCGGAGGCAGGGTTGAGGCAGCGATGGCTCGGGGGAGTGGCGGGACCTGAGCACGCAGTCAGCCGTGGCCCACGCCAGGCCGTGTCAGCGGGTCCACGGCCCCCAGAGGCGCGCCTGGCGTCAGGGCACTCACGAGCTGCCGGTGGGGTCCGGGAGGCCTCGCGCTGGGGACGCAGGTCCAGAACTGTCAGTGGGGAGCGGGGCTCTGGCCTGGGAGGGTCTGGATCAAGACCACGCCTTCCACCGGTGGCAGTCACTGCTCCGCTGTGCCATGAGAGCTTTCGAATCTTCCAGCTCCAAGAGCCAGGCAGTCCGGTCGTTTTCATATCACTTAGGGGAGATCAAGGAGCCCGGAGCGAAAGAACCAGTCCTGGTTTCTCACTTAGTAAGATATGACCCATGCCCAGGCGGATTGTCCCGAGAGTCTGCACCCGTAGTGGGATGAAACTCTTTGCATTTGTTTGAACAGGTCAAACAGTGATGGGAAAATCCCCTGCCAGAGTGATTTGTGAGCGTGGGTCTGCTTTTAATGAATCCAAAGATTTTAATCACCTCACCTACCAATCTTCCAGAGCTATAAATAACACACTTTGTATCGTTAGAAACAAGACACCGATAAGATATTTAAGATGCAATCTGGAATGACGGTGGGCATTCGTGGGTGGTGCCGCTTGGCCGTAGATGAATATAGGTAACAGACCCCCGCTTGGGAGTCTGGGGTGGGGGCGTTGGCCACAGCCTTGGCAAATGAGACAGAGAAGGAAGAGGTGTCTTTGCCACATTTAATTTAGGTCACTTCAGGCAATTAGTTGGGTGTGTTTAAAAATAGACTGCAAGGGGTGGATGACTGCAGCTCAGTGCGGACATGGTGAACGCCTGATGACTGGAAACTCAGGAATAAGGGGGAAAACACAGGCGCAGTTTCTGGGGCCGGTCCTCACGTGCGCCTGTGCTGCGGAGCAGGGCCAGGGCAGACCCCCGCGCATGCTCCTGCAGGCCACCAAGGCAGCGAGCGTGTGGAGACCAGTGGGAAAGCCGTGAGCGCTGTTCCCGCCTGAGGGAAGACCCTCTGCCGCAGACAAGGCTGCGTCCAGACAGAGGCCGGTGCCGAACGTCGGGGTCCCCAGGGGGAGAGGGCGGCAGGGTGGAGGCGTCGTCTCACTGAGGAGCACGGAGAAGATGCTTCCTGGGGATCCGCTGACACAAGCAAGCAGACAGTCGTGTCACTGCGGTTTCCCAGGTAACTTTTTCACACAGAGTAAAATTTCCTCAGAACGGTCAGACACCGTAGCAAAACCACCTCATCAAAAGCGGCAAGTGAGGAGGCTTCACCCACAGACCAGTCTTTCAGCAGCCAGCCAGCCTCCGAATGGCCTCCCAGAGGCGGCTGTCAGTTTTCTAGGCCTCCCCTTCCCGCCGCCCTGCCCCCCAAATGTTACCAAGTGGAGAAGTGAAGAATGGAGGGACAGGGTGTGGTAGGGTGATCTGTCCTTCAGGAGGGAGGTAGGTAAGTGGGTGTTTTAGTGAATATAATAATCCGGGAGATTTTTGAGGATTTTTAAGTCTCTTTAATCAGAGTAAGGGGAAATGGTTGAGCAGAAAAGGACGCAGTTAGTTTTCTGGTGGAGGAGCAGGATAAAGATTCAGTAGGTGCTGGTTACCCGAGGGAAGCAGATAAATCAGATTGTTTTCAGATGATGACAAGGTCATTTCTGTGGTCAAAAACACGTCTGCACAGAAGGTTGAAGAATGTGTGTCCAGGTAGTTTAGAAACAGCCCCTGATGAGCTGTGTGCTCCAGTTGCTGCTTCTAGTGTTCTCACCGATGGTCTGTAGGTGTCAGGCCCGTCAGGCCCCGCAGGAGGGACAGGTAACGGCGGGTCCCAGGGTGGTGACCGCGCTCCGCGGCGTCCACCTGCCTGCCCGTGTGTCCCGATGATGTGGACGTAAAATGAAGAGACAGGTTGGGGCACACAGTCGAGCTTCCGACCCCAGCTCACAGGCGCTTCTGGGAAGACATTCGGTTTTTCCCACTTTATTTGTTGGCGGCTTCTGCCCGAGTTCAAGTAAACCCTCATGGGTGTGCCAGTCCGAACTTACTGCGCATGCATCCGCTGGCAGCCCCCAGCCGTCCCCGGGCCGCGCGTGGGTTCTCCGCGAGCCAGAAGCCCGGGCGCCTCGTGCGCGTGAGCCGGAAGCACAGGCCTCGCGTTGACTCGCCCAGCTTCGCTCTATTTCTGGGGCTTTGTTCACGCCTTGGTTGGCAAAGGAGAAGTGACTGCAAACATACCCAAGCACAGAATGGTAGCTACACGCGAAAGTACTAAGACTTTGCAATTAAAGACATCTAAACAGATGACTGTTTTACCAAAAAGCTAATATCCGGGGGGAGGTGGGAATCAAATAATAGGGAATTATAAAATTGATGGCTTGCAGTTTTTGTAATGGTCCTTAAGAAGCAGAGAAAGAAAAACATATGGAATTTTACTGGCCGGGTATATCCCTAGTGGTTGATTAGGTGGTTTGTTTCTATATTTGTGCAGAGACAAGCTTGCAGTGGGATTATTACCAAAAATGGTGGGCATCTTTGCTGAATGAGTGCATTAATAAAGATCATGCTCGCTTAGAACTTCTCCTGAGGTGTTTCTAATGTACTTAAGGAGCACAGTAAAAAAAGCACTTTTTTTTTTTCTTTTTCTGGTACGTTTCCCCCTTGTTTGATTTGGATATGGATAACAAATATTTTTGATTTGTCTACTGAATGACTCCCCTTTTGAAAAGCGCATCGATTTTCACCACCCAGGAAGCTTGTTCACAGAAAGCTTCAGAAAGTCTGCTTTCGTCTTCTCGGGCCTCTCTTCTCATTTAGAAAGTGAGGTGGGTGAGTTAATTACCTCCTAGTCTCTCCCAGCGTAAAGGTTGAGTCCAGCAACTCGCGGATGTTCTTTGAGATACCAGTACTTGAGAGAGCATCTCAAACCACAATGAAAGACACATTCATTGTCTCCCCATGGAATTACAGAGCAAAACTTGCCAACAGTTGCTGCTCATTTACAGCTGACAGGCTATAAATGGCCGTTGACACTCAGACCAGATGTCATGGAAAATCCAGCATCATGACAAAGCAGCAGGGTGGGGAAGGAGCCCCTGTGTGAGCCCGTCAGTAGATCATATTCAGAGAGTGACTGCATTAGGAGAACACAGGCTCATCTCCATGGCAAGATGAATCGAACCGATTGCCTTGAATGTAGGGGTACCGAGACTCCCCCCGGGTTATGAACAGGCACTGCAAATACTGAATGCCACGCGTGCACGTGGGCAGAGCCGGCCGCAGGCGGTCAGGCACAGGTGCTTGCTGCGGCTTACGGAGGCAGAGCGCCGTGTGCGGAATCCAGGGGCGCCCATAGTCTCGTCTCTACTCCTACGGGATATAATCTGCACTTGGGACATTGATCTGAGGAGCAGATTGATTGAAAGGATCTGTAAGCCGCCCGCATCCGCAGAGGCCGTGACCACAGACCTCGCGCGCACACGCAGGCCTGCCCCCCCCCCCGACAGACGGACAGGGCTGTCGGGGCTCCCGTTTCGGCCGCCGCTGCCTTGGGAGGGCTGTTTCCGATCGTGCCCCTCTCGTGTGCTTTCGAGCCTCAACAGAAGAAATGGTAGCAGATAAGACGGCAGTGGTGAAGCCACCCCCGGTTGGCTCAGAAACTATAGCAGCTTTTGTGGACTGTAACCACGTATCAAACCCCTTTTCTGTAGGAACTCAGAGTCTGAGCTAATGTGCTCACCCACAAATTTTTGTAGCGATAGTATATCATTAAGTTGGAGGCTCTGTGGATGGTAAGTGTGGTGGCAGATTGATTCTGATTTAGACCGCCGAGGAGGATGTGAAGCTAGTGTGTGCGTTATTTTCAAGCTCTCATGGAAGCGGGCCTTTAGGATTGATTTTTGGAGTTTATAAAAGCAGATCTTCCTTTAATGAAGTCGTGGATCATCCTGATAGTTCAGTCTGCCCTCCACATTTCTCTTCTAACTTAACCTGAAAGACACGCACAAACACGCAGCCCCTCCATGCGATAACTTGGGAAGTCTTCACGGCGACCTGGGCATGGTCCTGCCTCTTCTCGTCCATCGCTGCAGCTGAACAGTCTTTGTGGGGATAACGCAAACACCAAGCCACGCAGAGCCCCTGTTTCCCTGAGCGGCTGCCGAGGCTCTGCACAGAGGCATCCCTGTTCTCGCTAGTACGAGACCTCGCCGCTCAGAGGTGTGCGTGATTAGTGCCCAAGGGACGCCATCTCTTCCCACTGCTGGGTCCCTGTGTTTAAGGGACCGCGTGGCCCAGCTTTCTGAGTGGTCAGAATAAGACCACATGAAAAAAAAAATTTTTTTTTTTATGTTTATACACCAATGGCACTTAGATTTGCTCAACAAACTCCCATACCACTTGATGTGAGAGGCCTCAAATGACTGATTTCTAAAGCAACTGGATCTCTTTCTTTGAATGAGCCTGTGGCTGACAAATTAGGACCTATGCGTCTTAACGGAGATCTCTGTGCCTTTGAGTGTGAAGGCTTCAGAGAAACAAGTTACTGTTTACACTTTGATGTGGTTTTTCCAAATTGTTGATTGTATAAGTAGCTAGAAATGACTTTTTCATTACATTAGAAAATGCATGAATGTCGGAGGCTGTAAATTTTACTTATGAAAACAAATGTCAGATGTGGTTAGAGTTTATTAATATTAGAGTTCCAAGTAGTCTCCTATGTTAGGACTTAGTAATTTCAGCATGGACATTTTCATATTCTTGAGACATCATCATCCCATTCAGATGGAATGATCATGTAGTTAGTGTTGAGGTAATTCACAATCCTCCCAACCCTAAAAGCAGCACAAAGGTTTTCTTTCCATTAGCAACTGTCACGTTAGGGATGGATCTGATGGCAGTGCGCAGCTGTAGCCTGAAGAAGCCGGTACCCGCTGAAGACTTACTTGTCCACCCTCTCACTCTTGCAGACTTCACCTAATGTCTTCCAAGTGATGACTCTTTGCTAACTTGCATGGCTGGCTTACTTCGTAAATAATTGGTTTAGGCTGTGTTTGTACAAGGTCAAAACAATCAACAAAATCGACTTGCTCGCTCTGAAGAAAGTTGCAAATTCATGGGGAAAATATGGAAATAATTGTTAAGATGGATGCAAAACCCATCCAATCGAATCTTCCATTTCTCAGTTCATTGTTTCGGCCCTTGCAGAGCACATTGTTCCCCAGCCTTTCCAGTCTGAGGCACAGTGGAGACTTGCTGGGTGTCAGCTTTGCTCACGGAAAGACAGCTTTGAGGCCCGACCGGTCTGACCAAGTGTCCGCCCAGCTGTCGGGAAGGCAGACTTCAGTCCTCGAGACCTGACCCTTTCGCCTTTCTTAAGATCCAAGGAGCCAACCCAGGGAAATTCGACACTTTGCCCTGATGGTTATTGGCAAAGCACCCATGTGTCTCAGAGTCCCGGTTGGGAAACAGTGACATAAACACAGCCTTATTCCAAAAAAAAAAAAAAAAAAAATATTTATCAGAACCTAAAAGAGTAAGTCCCCAAGAGAATAAAATGTGTCTTTCTCATA